ACAGATGATAGTCGGCTTTCCCGACCTTATTATACCGATACTCATCTACCGTGGTTTAATAGACGCACTTCTGCCCCCAACGTTAATACTACTGATTCTGTAGGGTAGCAGAATAAAAATACTATAACTCTAGACTCTATACTCTATACTCTATAGTCTATAAAAGTTGTCCGATTTGGCTGAATTTTTATTTGTAGGTGTGAGTTGGCCATTGGAAAAGTTTGGCGTTAAAACATTTCCCAAAAATATAAATGAACTTGCGCTACACCGAGATTTCTGATTTGAGGGAGGGAGTGTGCAAAATTTTGACACAAACTTGATCCACCATAATAGATAGTTCTAGTCTTCGAGATCCATGCGATCATAATTTTAGTCCGTTTGTATGGGAAATGTTATATATATGGGTATATCTCCTTTTAAAACCGATTTGGATGAAATGCTTTTCTCGTCCAAAAATACACCTTTCTGTAGCTCGAGCTCGAAATTCAAAATGTAAACTCCTCTCGATTTGAAAAAATTACCTTCTTAATAAAAAACCTCTCGATTGAATCATTATTTTTATTAGACGCACACAGAAAAACTTTTTCTTCATCACCGTCGTGGATTACAGTGCTCAGGTATGTATACTTTTATTGCAACTGCCTTTTCTACTGAGAGAAGCGCAGTTGTACTGTTACTTTAACACTGAGGCATTGAGAAGAATAAAACGAGGTAGCTAAAAAACGTTCCCCTCAGCATTACTCCCAAAAAATAAATTTATTTTGTAGCGTCCGAATCGAAGTACTTTCCAAGAATTCGATTATAAAAGGAAACCGCACTTGCACCTGAATATAAATTAAAGTGGAAAATACGTGCCAAGCACGAACTGAATGAGCTCGCATTAATTATGTGTAGATTTAACATTTCCAACAAAAGACTTAGAAACTGCTTCTTATAAATAATAATAATACATAATACATTTTTTTGTTGTTATACATATTTTTTTTCAAATTTTATAATATTTATAAACTTCATTGTTTTAAAGCATCTTTCGAATACTTAAAATACATAAATAATGAAATCAAATGGTATGCCTCACAAGAAAGGAAAGCTACCCGATACATGCAAAGATGGAAAAAATAATAGAAACGAATATTTCTATTTCACTTAAAGGCTTTTTTTAAGTTTAAGCTTTACGTGGATAACGATACTTGGTCCCGATCTTCTTTTTGAACGCTTTTCGTCCGCAATTTTTGCGAAAACGCGGTCGTATTTTGTCAAAATCTGTGGTTATTATTCGTTTAGATTAAAATAAAAGGTATTGTTTTAAATATTTTTATTACAAGGAGTGTTATTAAAGCAATTTTTGGTAAAGTTTATCATTTATTTTTGTTAAAAGCTTCGTATGTATACCCTTTTATTTGAATCCTATTGTAAACCTATTGAATCCTATTGTGAACGCTATAAATTAAACATACATTTACTGTAACGTAGAATCATCTTCTGACCTTTAGATTAGCCATTGGAACAGTTTGGCATTCAAAAATTTTCCAAAACAATTAACGAACTGGCGCTAACATCAGATTTCTGTTTCGGGGGCGCAAAAGTGACCCAAACCTTTAAAAATTTTGACACAATTCCTAAATCTGATAGTTCTATTTCTTCTGGACTTCAAAATCCTCGCGTTCAAAATTTGTGCCCGTTCGTATAGGAAAAGTAATATACATATATGGGTATATCTCCATATCTAAAAGTCGTACGAGTGGGATGAAATTTGTTTTTCAGATATATATTAACTATAGAAATAGTTTGTCATCAACATTTTTTCAAAAAACTTTGCTGTACTGGCGCTACAAAAATTCGCGAGTTGTCGGGGCGGGAGGGGTGGTGTCATAATTTTGACTCAAACTTATACTGCGTAGGCATTGTAGGAGTCTCCATGCCAAATCCTTTTCCTCTTTCTCTTATAGTCTCTGAGATCCACGCGTTCATATAGTCAGTTGGACAGACGGACATAGCTATTTCGACTTGGCTGTTGATGCTGGTCAAGAATATATATACTTTATGGGGTCGGAAATGATTCCTTCCGCCCATGTTACATACAGTCACACGGCTGCTATACTCTTGTATTCTACGAGTCGCGGGTATAAAAACCTGTGAAATTTATCTCCTTACATCTCCCTTTCTTTGACTTGTAATTTTTACATACATTTAATGTTCTTCCCAGGTTTAAATAAGAAGGGACGGCTATAGTCAAGTTTCCCGACTTTATTACATGACATTTTAACTAAAGTTTTTTTTTATTCACTACCAATTTTGTTTAAATTTTTTTACTTAACAAATATCCATAATAAGTTTTACAAAAAATATATTAATTTTTCTCTTTCGTCGAGATACGCATTCTTTAAGTAGCGATGGGAAAAAAAGGTCATGTCCTGGTTGACATATGTGGCTGATTTAGACTCCTGTGGCCATTTGAAAAACGAAAAGGAATGAATTCTAAATATTAATATTATATATTAATATTAATATGAATACTAAAGTTTTTCAATAAAATAGCGCCTTTAAAAAAAAAACAAAACAAAAACGTACATTTACAGAGGGTATTAGAATTTTGTCCAAAAGTGTGCAACGCAGTGAAGGAGACATCTCCACCCCTATATAGTATTAGAAGTATTCTTGATCAGGATCCCCTCCTGAGTTGATATAAGCATTGTCCGTCTGTCTGTCTGTTTCTACGCATACTAGTTTCTTAGTTTCAAAACTGCCGACATAAAACATTGCACAAACCCTTCTTTATTACGCCATACAACTGAACAATCGGAAATGGTATTTGGTAACTTAGGTATTTTTGAAGATAGAAGCTTGGGATTTTTTTTGGATTTCTAATAAATTGTAAATTTTGGATAATTATAATAAACTGGTTATATTATGATATTCTTATAAGGATCCGTCAACTATAGCCGATGTTTGTCAGTACAACAAGTCAGTGCAATTTTGCTATCGTTTGGGAGTAACAGTTTGTAAAAGAAAGGAATAAGCGCAATGGAAGGGCACACTATTGCTCCGGAACGCTAGCAAGATTGCACCTGACTTGCTTTGGGAAAAGCGTTATAACTTCAACAATTTTCATAAGTTCGTAATGAAATTGGTCTCGATATACCAGGTCTATGAAACTGCTTTTTACTTTATTGTTATTTATCGGTAACAAAAGTGATCAAAAATTGTTGGTACAAATTTTGTTAGCATCTTTTAACATCTTGCAACACTGCTCAAACGTTATTTGCGAGTTTTTTTTGGCAAAAGAAATTTTTATACCCTTGCAGAGGGTATTATAATTTTGGTCAAAAGTGTGCAACGCAGTGAAGGAGACATCTCCGACCCTATAAAGTATATATATTCTTGATCAGGATCACCTCCTGAGTTGATATGAGCATGTCCGTCTGTCCGTCTGTCCGTCTGTCAGTCTGTCAGTCTGTCCATCTGTCTGTCCGTCTGTCTGTCCGTCTGTCTGTCCGTCTGTCTGTTTCTACGCGAACTAGTCTCTCAGTTTTAAAGCTATCGTCTTGAAACTTTGCACACACCCTTCTTTCCTTTGCACGCAGTATATAAGTCGGAACGGCCCGGATCGGCCGACTATATCCTATAGCTGCCATATAACTGATTGATCGGAAATGGTATAACTTTGGTGTTTTTAGAGTTAGAGAGTTCAAATTTGACTTGAGAGCTATTTTTGGCAAAATAATACGACATGCCTAATTTCATAAGGATCGGCCGACTATATCCTATAGCTGCCATATAACTGAACGATCGGAAATGACCCAACTTTCGGGTTTTGGAGGTAGAAAGCTGGAACTTAGTACAGATTCTATTCTTGGTCAGTTGATCCAACCTACCAAATTTCATTAGGATCGGCCGACTATATCCCATAGCTGCCATATAACTGAACGATCGGAAATGGTATTTGGTAGAAATATCAACTTTCGTATTTTTGAAGATAGAAGCTTGGGACTTTTTTTAGATTTTGTATTGTAATAAATTGGATTATATATTCCTATTCCCATAAGGATCGGCCAACTATATCCGATGTTTGCGATATATATCCGGTTTTAACTGCAAGGGTATATAAACTTCGGCTCCGCCCGAAGTTAGCTAACCGGGTGAAACCGTTGATGGCGAACGCTACCAGCAACAATTGGAAGAATTGAAAGAATATCTGCTCCAAAAAGCATAGGATACGCAAAAAGGCAGCACAAAGCAATTCTTCTGGACGACAACGCGCAATCACACCGGGCAAGAGGCACCAAGGAATTGGTAGCCACGTTTGGCTGGAAATCCATACTCCATGCGGCTTATTCACCTGACTTGGCTCCATCAGATTACCATATTTTTGCCGGGTTGGGACACGGATTAGACAACCACCTCTTCCATTCCTATGAAGACCTTAAGGATTGGCTAAAAGACTGGTTTTGGGTCCAAGGAAAAGGCGAGGAATTCATAATCTCGTTCATCTCGTATTTCCATGGGTCCGATCCCTTGAAACGCTATCTTTGGAATATGTATCGTGTTTAATCCTTGAACAGACCCCAAATTTTCAAGCTTAAAAACACGGTTTTCAAGCTTTCTTTTTAGAAAGAAAAAGACTATATTGATGCAGCGGATTTTTCCCAGAAACCTTAATTTGCGAATAATTTTCCCCGGAATTAGCAGCTCGATATACAATATGCTTTTCGGTTCACCCGTTTAATCAAATGTATAGTTATGAAATATAAAACTGATTTGGTTGGTATTGGTCATTGCTATAGTTGGTCAGAATCCATGAATGCATCGGCCGGCGATGCTAATTTTCCGATCTGTATTGGAGATTAAAAGCTCAAAGCTTTGACAATAATTTATGAGATTCTGTGCTTACTTATCACTTACCACTTAAAGAGACCGGTGGCCTTATACAAGGGTGCCGAGGCGCTATTTGACTTCCACTCGAATTCCCCCGCCAGAGCGAGTTTTTGATTTTTTATACGTCGAAGTAAGCACCGAGTGACAACAGAAATAGCTGAGACTTCTTCCGACGTGGGATATAAAAGTGAACGTCGATGTACGGCAACTAGTCAAAACTTGAATGTCAGCATGCTCAGAACTACTCTAATTTTGGTTCTTCTCGCCTGGAGCACCGGTAACTTGGCCGATGCAAAGCCATTTATCATTAAAGTATTTGCGCCCAACACCAGTAAGAGTAAAAGGAGTGACAGTTAAGCCGAAAAGTAATATTTTCTTCCTATTTTCAAGGTCATGGAAGCAACTCCGCCACTAGTTATCAAAGTTCCGCGATAGCAGCGCCCATTAACACACAATTCATCTCCAGTTTAATCTCTACCAAGATCCAGCTTTGGAATAGTTTACTACAAAGCAAATCCTCAGGTGGGAGCTTTGGATTTGGCTTCAGCAAATCAATTTCGTTTTCTACCACCACCACCGAGAAGCCTACGGAGGTCACACATCACACCACTGAAGTAAACACCGATTTTACTCCGGATGATAGCTCTCCTACTACTCACACTTTATACACAACCACTACAGAAGGCAGTACTAAAACGCCGAGCCCCACTATACATCCCGAACCTCCGGTCCCTACAACCTCGACGCCAGTGAAGACCACCACGAGTTCGCAGCCAGAGCCCACCTCTACAACGGAGACTACTTCTGGATATTCGTATCAAACGCCCACGCCCAAAGTTGAAACAAAACCCACTGTGGACACTTATTACTTGCCAGCATATCATGCCTAAATAAAAGCATGGCCCTTATGTAACTAAACATATGCCTCTAAATAGTTTACCGAAAGATAGTTTTGTTATATATTATATAATTTAAAAAAACTTAAATGTGTGCGTGTTCGAGTTGATATTTTCCATAGGAAAGTTTAGCCTGCAAATACATTTTATTCTATCTAAAAATACAAATACAAATTCTATCTAAAAATGTAGACTAAAAAAGTCAATATTATTGGTTTTCAAATTTTTTCTTAATTTTATTTTACACGGAAGTTGACGCACATTGCCGATCTTAACAATAGTTTGCTCTTGTGTCTAGTTTTTAACTTTTTGGTGATAAATGATTAGCATAGAAACTGGTTTCTGAATTGATGAGCCAGACCATTGAATAAGTGCTTGACTGGTTCTTTGGTTTTTAGACAATTCTGAAGCAAGCACACCTTCTAACATATTCATTTGTATTTATTATTTTGTATAAAAAAATTTAAAAACTGTTTAGAAGCTAATGGAAATGGAGTAGCTATATGAAAGTTATATGGAGGCTAGTTATATATTATAAATACAAAAGAATAGAAAGTCCCCTTCGAAAAACGCTGGTTACGACCAGAAAAGTCGGAAAAAAATCCCGACTTTGCAAAAGCCATCTCGAATTAAAATGTATTTGTAGAATCTGTACAAAAGAGTTTCTTACTATTTGCTTTTTGGGGACTAAAATGGGATGCAGACTCTTACTTATAAACTTACTTTTCTTAAAAATCGTAGAAAGATGTTTGCTACCTTTTCCTACACAACCTCATCAATGGTGACGTGCATACACGTCACCAATAGCCAGCATCTACTAATACGCTTAAAATTTAACGTTCCTAGTACAAACACTTTGGTCCATTACTCCTTAGCCATTGTAGGTCGACATATGCACAGCATGATCCCTTTAGGGCCATGCCCTTTTTTTCTCTTAAAACCCAATTTTAAAACCTTTAAACGGTTTCTACATCTACCACAAACAAATACACACAATTTTTGATTTTTAAATTGCTAATATTTCCTTAAATATAAGCTTTTTGAAATTGTAAGCTCAAATGGTAGCTTGTTCAAAAAAAAACTCAGAAAAAACTTTCAGCTTATCATTACTGAAAACATAATTCAATTTTATTTTCAATAACATCTACTTTAAATATTGATTGCGGGCTCTTAAACTTTTGAAAAAGCTCGGTGTTTTTGGAAGTTTATCATGACAATTTAAATATTTATAAAACAATTAACATCGGTTCTGGATACGTTACTGTTCACATTCATCTAGATTCTAGAATCTAAAATAAAAGTTATTTACAATTATTTTGTGTATATATATATTTAAAAGTGTTAGTTTGCACGTAATAAACATAAAGATGACGCATTTTGTAAGGTAGATTTAAAGGGACAGCGTAAATCTTAGCGGCAATTATGTGCTGGGAAATAGCTGCATATACATATATAGTATTTAAAATTCTCCCGAATCCGTGTCTATAACTCATCCGGTACATTTACGGCATCGCCTAGAGCAAGGAAAGTAGGAATCGACAATGAGGATGCCATAAGGTAACAGAAACAAATGAAAGAAAGCAAAGGAATTTAAATAGCCTTCATTTATCACGTAGAGATTGACGCTCTCGCTTAATACTTTTGAGTTAGGCGGTTGGAGAACTCTAGGCTGATTAACGTGGTCTTTATGATCCGTCGAACGGCTACCGTTTGTTAAAAAATCCTATTTTTGCTTTGCTTATGCCTATATTGAGTGTTTTTAAATACACGGACAATCTTGCTAGTATTTTTGGTAAAATCAGTAATGAATCTTAACTTATGTGAATTTATGTGAAAAGTTCGATTTTTACCCATTTATTATGAATTTAACTCGAAATTCTGTGGCAGGGCTAAAACTTTTCATAGGTTTGAAGCTTGACATTTGACTAAATCACTGGTGTTTTCTGTAGCACCCCTCCCTAATAGTCATTCTTATAGTCCCTTTACAGATTTTAAAGTATTGGTCGATCAAACGTGCACATGTTTAACATTTAAGTGCGTGCGTAAGCAGCGAAAAACCAAGAGCTTATAAATGATATAAATGATTATGATAAATCGCGGATACCTAGAAGAAACTACTTACTCAAGATTAAGTCTGATCAAATAAAAAATCTCTTGACGAGGTAAAATAACTATAACGAACCCGCAAGCCACGCCCAAAATATCCATTTTTGTGACGATACATTCGCGTATATAACAAGAAAGGAAAGCTATCTTCGGACGGAGCCGAAGTTGATACACCCGGAGTTAGCTTCTATCTTCAAAAAAAAGGTCAAAAACAATACGTTTAAAAGTTGGTATTTCTACCAAATATCAGTTCCGATCGTTCAGTTATATAGCAGCTATGTCGATCTCGGCCGTTCCGACTTATATACTGCAGCCAATGGAAAGAAGGGTGGGTGCAAAGTTTCAAGTCGATAGCTTTAAAACTGAGAGACTAGTTTGCATAGAAACAGACAGACGGACATGCATATATTAATTCAGGAGGAGATCCAGATCAAGAATATTTGTATATACTTTATAGGGTCGGAGATGTCTCCTTCACTGCGTTGCACACTTTTCACTAAAGTTAAAATACCCTTTGCAAGGGTATAAAAACAGTTGGCTCGCCAACTATGCCCCAATAACTAAAAAAAAATTACATCCCAATTATTAAGGATGGTAGGACTCGAATTAGCACGACTATTAGAGTCATCACGGGGCACTGGCTAACACATGCTAGGCGAATGACTACATAACTACAACCGCAGCTGTAAGGACGAAAAGGGGGATGAAACCGTTGAACCTCTTCTATGCCACTGCCCAACTCTGCAGTCCTAACTAAAGGGGTGCATAAATAGAATATTTATGAATGCACAACCTTAAGCATAAATTGAGTGAGATAGAAGCGGATGAAAAGCGAATTGAATGAGTTAGAGTTAAAGATTCGAATGAATTCTAGAATGTACGATACACCTATTCATATTTTTCAGTACTATTACACGCTGATATAAAAAACAATAAAAAGTGGATGGCAGTCAAAGGCAGTTGAAATATAAAAATATTTTTAATATTTATTAATAAATATTTTTCCAACAAAATTTTGGCGCTAAAAAAAAGTAAAATAATGTAAGAAGAATTCAATGTAAGAAAACCAATAAAATCACAAAAATACTAAAACACTAAGAAATTTATAAAAAAGGTCAAAAACAATAAGTTTAAAAGAATAAATAATTGATTCGCAAAAAATAATAATACTATATGTCGGGTCAAGCAGCAGCACGGCGTTTAATGTTTATGTTTAAATAATGTTTATGTAATGTTTAGTGTAATAATTTAGTTATAGTTTATTTATTAAGCTAAAGTATGGATATATCGCCTTAGTTGGTCGCAAGCCGAATCTTTCTCGGCCGCTCGACTTCAACGGGCCTATTTTAAGAGAGCTTTAGCTTCGCAATCACTATGTCGGGCCGCTCTCTCCACTATCGAGAGCTTTAGCTTCGCGTATGTCTAGTCGAGCCGCACTCTCTGTCCATATTATTAGTCACTGCTTAGCACCATAAACTGGATGATCACAATGGTTGATCCCAGTTTCATCTGCCTGCAGCATAAATAAAATATAACGTACTATAATTAAATTCGTCTTTCATTTCCCGGCATTGAAAACTCTCAATGACCAAACACTATAACTTACCTTTCGAAAAACTCATTCATTAGCAAACAAGAAAGGAAAGCTACCTTCGGGCGGAGACGAAGTTGATTTACCCTTGCAGTTAAAACCGGATATATATCGCAAACATCGGATATAGTTGGCCGCTCCTTATGGGAATATTAATATATAATCCAATTTATTACAATACAAAATCTACAAACAAACAATACAATACAAACATACCAAAGTTGGTATTTCTACCAAAAACCATTTCCGATCGTTCAGTTTAATGGCAGCTATAAGATATAGTCGGTTGATCGTTATGAAATTTGGTAGGTCCGATCAACTGACCAAAAATAGAATCTCTACTAAGTTTCAGCTTTCTATCTTCAAAACACGAAAGTTGGGTTATTTCCGATCGTTCAGTTATATGGCAGCTATACAATATAGTCGGCCGATCCTTACAAAACTTGGCATGTCGTATTATTTTGCCAAAAATAGCGCTCCGACTTATATACTGCATGCAAAGAAAAGAAGGGTGTGTGCAAAGTTTCAAGTCGATAGCTTTTAAACTGAGAGACTAGTTTGCGTAGAAATAGACAGACGGACAGACGGACATGCTCATATCAACTCAGGAGGTGATCCTGATCAAGAATATATATATACTTTATAGGGTCGGAGATGTCTCCTTCACTGCGTTGCACACTTTTGGACAAAATTATAATACCCTCTGCAAGGATATAAAAATCTGTAATGATATATGGTATGTATATAGGCATTAAAAAGTATGCATAAGATGTATTCTTATTCGGCACGTGTAAAAAAATCAATATAACAGATTATATTAGATATATTATTATTCTTTATCTTAAAAGACGTATGTTCGTATGAACTTGTGGATCTCAGAGACTTCTTCAAGCTTTGAACACGATACAAATTCCAAAGAAAGCGATTCAAGGGATCGGACCCATGGAAATACGAGAAATAAATTAAAGATTTTCATGTATCTTTCTTGTAAAAAAATTGTACAAAATAAAAACAGTTTCCAAACGGAACTCATTGGAGTAAGACCATATTAACATAATTGGGGTTCCTCCTAACAGAGGAGCCTCCTAACAGGCTTTAGGATTCTAGAGCTATAAGATTTGGCATGGAGACTCCTACAATGTGCACGCAGTTCATGTGACGCACCCTCCGGTCACCACAAATCGCGAATTTCTGTAGCGCCAGTACTGGAAGGCTTTTTGAGAAGCTTTTGATGCCAATCTATTTCCATATTTAATATATATCTATAAAACAAACTTTATCCAAATATGTCAATTTTTCGGCCAGATTTAGAACTTAGCATCGTAAGATATCCGTGCCGATCAAGTTTGTGTCAAAATTTTGCCACGTCCACTCCGACCCTAAAACAGAAATCTCGATGTAGCGTTAGTTCGTTAATGTTGTTGGAAAATGTTTTAAT